TTCCCTTCCCAAGAGAGGCCTGGGACAGAGGCTTTGCCTTAAATGAATGGGCTGGCCTTTTTTTTTTTGGCAGTTTAGGGAGTCTGCTGCACCCATCCCCCCCTGACCTGTGCCCAGTTGGTAATTCCAAAGCTCCCTTCGTGAGATTGGTGCCTTTAGGCCAGCAGCCCTCGACTGGATGCCATGTTTGTCCCCAGAACGTTAGCAGTTCTGGAGGCATTTTTGTTTGTGACAACTCGGGGAGTCCTACTGGCATCTGGTGGGTAGAGGCCAGGGATGCTGCTAATGGCTGCATCAAACAACATCCCACAATACAGAATTGCTCAGCCTCTAGTATGCTGGCCGAGAAACTGTTGTGGGCCAGCCCAAGGCTTGCTAGCTGATGCTCCCTCTAGCCTGGGAAGCAGATGTGCCCTGCAGATCCCTTTTCTCTGAAAGAACCCTGGAAACATCTATTCTCAGAGCCCCAACTTGCCCATTTTCCTCGCTCAGTTGCATGCAATTCAGCCTCACTGATCAGAGCTGCTCAGTGGAAAGCATGCCCAGACCAGACAGCCACCAGCATGTTTTCCACAGACTTCATGGAGCCCTAGTAGAAACCCGTTTCCAACGGTGGGAACCCTGCTTTGCCTGTGCATCCTCCGGCCAGTAGAACCCCAGAACCCCTTCTCCTTGCTCTCTTCCTCTCTCTTTTCTCAATCCTGCTCTTCCCACTATCTCCCCCAGCCCCCGGAGATTAATGTGATAATTGCCATGTGTGCCTGTTTACGCAGGGAGTGGGTGCACTCACCACCCCCAACCAGGCAGGTTCCCAAAGGAACACATTCCCGCTGTGTCAGGACTGGTACCCGCTGAGCACTGCCTGTGCAGGCGGCCACCGCCCCCAGCCGCGCTCTCTGTCTGTCATCACCCCCGTCCTGCGCACACGTGCGTGTGTGTGTCACTCAGGGAATCAGCAGGTGAGAAAGGCAGAGCTGCCAGCCTGCCAGTCTGAGGGCTTGGCTGGGTCAGGTGGGAGGAGAATCAGCACCCAAGAAAGAGGACATTGCCCCAAAGAAAAGAAAAGAAAAGTGTCCTTCTGCAATGATGGACACATAGCAGGTGTGTGTGCCCAGTGGCACCGAGAGATGGGTGTGCTTGGTGCGACCTCCTTCGCAGGGAGGGTCTGATTTACTCTTAGTTGCTTCATTGTGCTGCTCTGGGTGGGGAAGCTCCTCTGGAGACTCCTGGAGACGGAATACCGTGGGACGTGTTGGGAAAGCTGTGGGTTTTCCTCCCCAAGATGGCACTAGGCACACTGAGCCTGGCTGTCCCCTGTTCTTGCAAGAAGAGTCCCTAAGGACCAGCAAGTTTTATGATCCTGCAGGCAAGCGGCTTCGGGGAGAGTCCCAGAAGCAGGGAGAGAAAGAAAGGGAGAGAATCTCCTACTCACTCAGGTGCCGTCTGCTCTGAAGCAGACACGTGCAGGCTGGAGGAGCACTCAGTCAGTCACAACTCAAGCTGAACTGGCAACTTCCCACGTGGGGCGCCTGAACCCCACCTCACGTGCCTCCAGTGCCTTCGGAGTTGTCGATTACTTTCTTCTTTTTTGATCTCAAGAGATACTTGAGTAGTTGGCTCTCCTACACTGGACAATTTTAAGGCTTTAATAGTGATGAATCAGAAGGAGATTGCAGCTCTAATTAGCATCAGAAAGAAGCTTGCCATTTAGGAGGAAGGGAGCTTGAAGTCCTCTGCTTGCCCACTTCCTGCTAAGGTCTGTCCCCTGGTCCCTCTGGGCATGCCACTGATCTATTGACAGATTGGAGAAGTGAAGTGTGGGGTTGCCTGGAAGGAAGGATGGGGGTACTACGACCAGAGGGCAGGGGAAAGGTATAGGGAGGGTGGGGCAAGTCTATTAAAAGACTTAGTGAATAATCTCTGGGAGCTGTCAGGCTTTCTCCAGAAGAAGCTTTTAAGCTGTTAGTCTTCTTTAAGAGCCCCTAGGGCGCAGTGCTGGGGTGCAGGTGTCCCCCTAGATATTCTTCTCCTTGTCTGTCTAAAGGGTCCCAGTGCTGTCCATGATGGTAGACTTTTTTTTTTTTTTAAAGCAAATTGAAGTTGTACAGATTGAAAGGGGGAATATTAGAATGAATTTCGGGGCTATATTTTTAGCATGAGACCCACCTTATTCAAACAGTGGTCTTGATTAGTTGAGTAGAGTGAGCTGACTTTCTTAGGTGCCAGATACAGCGCGAGCAGTTCATTAAGGTTCTTGCCTTTAAGTTTAAAGGAAACCTGAAACATCCACACAAAGCACCTAATGAAACGAAACTCTTGTTGGTATGGTCTAGAAGAATTGGGACCCCCGCTTCTACCTCAGGACCACTACAGAGAGTTCTGCATTTCCGAGGCTGTTTATCCTCATAATGTTAACAGATTTTGCTTCAGAAAGAAGGTTTCATAATCAAGAAAGTTTATAAAATGTGGTCTTCTTGCAGGCTAATGGAAGTATAATCTTCTGTGTTTCCCAAATGTCTTGAGTTGGAGAAGCTCATTTTCTACATATTAACATTGTACAGATCACCAGCAATCAGAATGTAATTTGGGAAATGTTCTTCAGTCCCAGCCTCTCTGGCAAATAGTTACCCCATTGAGATTGCTCTAACCTCCTTCAAATTGTATCTCAGTCCCTCCCAGGCTACATTAAATGTCATAATTTCATTTTCACTATTGCTTTTACCAACTGGAGTTCACCTTGAAGGTCATAATTTCATCACTGCTACTGCTGACACCAAATACAGTTGACTGCTGAATAACATGGCGAATTGCGCAGGTCCACTTATATGTGGATTTTCTCAAGCCACCTCTTCGTCATCTACTCAGGAAGACAGTGAGGATGAAGAGCTTCATGTGGCTGCCCTTATGATAGTCGGAATAAAATTTTCTTTCCTTTATTATGGAATGTAATACATATAACTTACAAAATGAGCTTACCAATTGGTAATATATTACTAGTAATATATAATACCAATATTATTGGTAAGGCTTTGGGCCCAAGACAGGCTATTAGTAATTAAATGTGGTTGGAGTCAAAAGTTATATTTGCATTAGCAAAGGCATGGGGGGAGGGAGTTGCCATCTCTGTGCCCCTCATTATTACAGTTAACTGTTAATGTTTATTGGCAACCAAACAATGATCCGGGTTCTGGGAGTAGACTTTACTCTTTGCCATATACTTACTAAGGAGGAGTCGGTACTGGTTAAGCCATAGAGAGAATGAAATTTGTGGATCTGGAGTCCACCACCCACTGACCCCCGAATTGGTGAACCCTCGGAGTCTTTACAAATGTTGTATTTATAATCATGAGAAAAGTTTGAGCTAGCTATACATGGCTCATACGATGAGTCTGGTCTCCTTAGACTCGTAGAAGATGGCGGTCTCCATAGCTCAGAAAAAAACTGCCTTCCTCTGTCCATTAAAAATCCTGGCAGCCCTCGGCACTAAATGCTGCTCATCTTCCTACTGACAACCTGGAAGAATTACCTGTGAGATCTGACTCACATCTTTGTTTAACTAACCGGACCTGCTTGTACAGAACAGCTAGATCTTACACTCTGAAATGGTCCTGTGGTCCATTCAGTTCAGAAGGTGTGCGTGTGTCTGACTTTAATTTTGCTTCATTCGAAACCTTTTCTCTCTAAGCAATGTAGGGGCAAGACAAGAGGCCAAGTTTGGTGAAAGAAATTGCCTTAGAAGCTCTTTCTAATGGACACATCTATGTAGTGATAGCTACCTTCATCAGGACGAGGCTATATTCTGAGGACTGATGCATCTAAATGGGAGACCGAAAGAAAAATGAGATAATCTGGGAGACAAACAAGACAGAATGCCACAGAAATCCAGGGGAACCATGAGGACAGTGACTCAAAATATGCTTGCAAAATTTGGTAGTGAGAGAATGGTTAATCAGGGGTGAAACACTTCATTATCAAAATTTTGATCTAACGTTTTCTAATTTAGCCTGTGAATTTTTGACAGTGTAAAAATTGTAAATGTTTTGTATTTGACTTTGGACTTGTTTCTCCAGTGAATTGAAAATAAAATATCTTTCAGAAACAGTTGAGTTACAAATGGATATTAAAGTTTGGAGTAGGTTCAAAGCCTTGCTGATGTAAATGCACACAAGCAGATCATTTGGAAGATTTGGGGTCGATCTCATGATGAGGGAGAGTGAAACTAAACTCCGTTGAGTCGCAAGTGTCAGGATGGCTGTTCATAAAATAATGTGGCAAAATTGTTTCAAGTTCCTAAGACATCCTGCCAAGAGTGCTTCATCTAGCTATATCCTGTGGTATTACTCTCTTTCAAGCCCCCATGGTCTAGTGCCTTGAATCCAACTTGTTGGCTTTAAAATACAGAGTATGGATTTCCATGTTATTTTCAGTTCCCAATGTTAGTATCAGAGCAAACAAACCTAGATTTATTTCTTGTTTTATCCTAAGCTTTGCTAGGACCACATCTGGGCCAGTTCTGTGCTTTTGGACTATGATTGAAGAAAGAAAACCAGAGCTCAGGGTCAAGGGCTAAACTAGATGTGAGAGAAGCTCTCATCTCCAGAGGAACTCAGTCAAGCTAGGCTTAAACCAATATCCTTTGAACAGAATGATGGCTACAGCCTGCCTCTGTCTAAAAATTTGTCCAATTTAAAGTGCAAAGGCTTAGAACCTATATCACCAAACATAAAACCAGAGATTGTTCGCATGACATTGGAAATGTATTTGGTGTTTTGGGGTTCAGCTATATCATCAGTTAAGTGAGGCCGATGCATGTCCTTCACTGTATGCATGGGATAATATGAATTAGTCCATGATAACACCAAGCTGCAAATGAGTGAGACAACTTTAAATTGTACGGAGTTGTGTTTGTTACAGCACCCTACCTGTGAAGCTGCAGGAGTGGAGGCCTGTCTTAGCGATGGTTTTGATGAAGTACTAAGGAACCATTTTTTCTTTTTCAGACCAATGATGCCTTAGGAGCCACCTGGAACTGGCTGTATTTCATCCCCCTCATCATCATTGGATCCTTCTTTGTTCTCAACCTAGTCCTAGGAGTGCTTTCCGGGTAAGCCAGATATTCTTTTCTTAATATTTTTAAACTATATGCTGATGCCCTTGACCATTTGCAAATTCATTCATTAACCTCCATTTAGAAGACATTTCCTGAGCAGCCCCTATGTGCCAAATGCTGAGCAGTCCCTATGCCAAATGATGTTCTTGATACTGGTATGCAGCAGTGAAATATTATTCTAGTTGTCTTTATTTTTCTCTAGAATTGAGAAGTCTTTCAACCAGGTGCAACATTGAACCCAGAATCTGTGGGAGTCATTCTGTCAGCCATCCTTTATTTGGTCATTTGATTGTCAAAGGCCTTCTGTGTAAAATACTGTGCTGGTTGTTAGGGACATAAAGTAGAATAAGATACAGCTTCTCTTCAAACAATTCTAATCTGTCATATACTGGATCTCAAATTTCATCTTTGTGGTTCAAAACAATGTATATTGGTTAGCAAGTACTCAATGCCCTGTGCGTCGGTAAGTGTGGCAAAGAGCACAGAAGGTAAAATCATGTTTCCTGTACTTAAATTTTGCTGTGGGGACTGCACAAACGCTTGAAACAATTAGGGCATAGGGTTCTTTACTAATATAAGATTCAGATATTCAGTTTGAGGGAAGAGAGAATATTTTATATATATATGTACAGTTATTGGGGATGGTTTCATGAAGGACTGGAATTTTGCTTGGATATAAAATGTATAATAGGATAAAATTGAATATATTGGAGTAAACATTGTAGGAAGGGGAAATCCCCACATAAGCAAACATGAAGAAATGGGGTCAGGGTTTGGGGGGCTGGCGATGAGATTGTCATGCAGCCTAACTGAACCAGAATGAAAAGGTCACTTTGGAAAATAAAATCTACCCATCCCATATGAAATGTGGCTAAATGGATAGATCTTAGAGGGTCTTTCGTACAAGCCCTGGTATGGAACTTAGATGCCCAATCCTAAACCATGCTAACAGGGGTCTGTGCTAGCCAAATCCCAGCCTAGCCAAAGTTAGAAGATTTACTGTCATTAGAGGTTGAATCAGAAGAGAAGCTTGACATGATAACTTGAGGTTCCCCAGAGTGAGGTTGGTTTGTGGTGGTAGACAAGTGAAAGTCCACAAACTGAAGGTCATACTCCCAACCTCTCTTCCTCAGGACTTTCAGAAATAATAGCAGTCTGACAGGACTTCATCTCATTCCTCTGTGGGGAAACCTTATCTCATTTCCATTTGAAGAGAAAAGACCTATGTATACTGATTCTTGGAGGTTGCCAGGGAAATGGGTTCCATCTATTATCTTCTGTGAAGTTCACTTAATTTTTTTCCTGTGGTTGATGCAATAAATTACCTCAAAATAGTTGATTTAAGCTGTGAGAGAGGTTAATACTTCCACAGTTGTGGAGGCTAGAGTTAAAAAATATGGCAGGACCACGCTCCCTTGTTTTGCTAAGGGATCCATGGGAGAATTTCTTTGTTCTCTCAGAGACTGGTGATTCTCAACATTCCTTGTCTGTGACTGTTATTTCAGCCTCTGCCAACGTTGGTTACATTGCTTCCTTCTCTTCTGTATAGAATCTCCCTCTACCTGTGTGATTCAGATTATCTCTTTATCTCAGGATCTTTAACTTAAATACAACTGTAAAGACTTGCCAAATATTCCAGGTATTAGGATATAGACATATCTTCTGGGGAGACACTACTCAGCTCACTCTCCTGATCCCTGCACATGCTCCAACAATGCACACAGTTTGCAATAAGTCTTTTTTGCCTTGCTTTTTAAATAAGAATACTTAATTATTAGGATAATTATAAATGAGATATTAAATAGTTAGGGATCATCACAACTGAAGAAAATGTGCAAAACAAAAGACCAAAACCAAAATGTTAGTAGAAAAATATGCTTGAGGGAATGTGAACATTGCAGGGAGCAAACGGTAACTTAACTATAATTGATATGAACAGAGACAGAAGAGAAAGATTTCACTCACAGAGCAAGAGATTGCTGTTTATATAAACCAATCAGCAGTTAAAAAAAGTTCTTAGATGTAAAGGTAAAATACATTAAGGTAAAAATGAAGTGATAAGAATGTAAAACTATTAGAAATTAAAACAAGATATTAAATAGTTGAAATACATTTTCATTAAACACTTAGAAAATAGAACAACAATATGAAAATCAGGGCACTGGCCCTAATTCAACTAATTAGAATAAAATGAACAGAGAAATAGAAGAAATTAACAAAAAGTACTAAAAAGGTTCCCCAAACTAACAGATTTACATCGCCAGGTAGGAAGATCTCAAATGCAAGGATGCTCTTTCCAGCATTATTTTATGGTGGCGGGGGTCAGACGCAATGCTGGCATCTGCAATTGGGATAATAGATAGGGTCAACTGTTGGATGCAGACTGTGACATATAGGCAGCAGTTGGGAACAACAAATACCATGTATCCATGGCAACAAAGTGTTTTTGAAGCATAGTTTAGTGAAAACAGTGTTTGATACCATACACATATACAAAAATATTCATGTACACAAGACAATATACCATTTGTAAAAATGCATTCACATAAAAATATTCATTAACTAGATTGTAGTGGTAGTTTGTATGAGAGGAAGGTGAATGTGGAGATCAAAGAGAGTGAATTTAATTAAAAATGGAAATGCCCACTTAGCACTCAGCACAACTACTGGAGACTATACCATGATACATGACCATGAACTTTCAGAACATTTGAGTAAAGATAATTCTTCAGAAGCTTCTGGTGATTTAGAAGGGAATAGATTTGCTCTGCAATGAACCAAGAATTAGAGTAATTCTGGTCTTCTCGATGACAAGATTGAAAATTAGAAAGCAATAGAGAAGTTCCTAAAAATTTCTGAAGAGGGATGATAAGGAACAAGATAGAATTCTATACCCAGCCAAAATAGCAATTATTTGTAGATGGAAAAGAGTGTTTTCAGATACTTTCTGAGAATGTTACTAGGATATGAGTTATTAAAAACAAAGAAGTAGGGTCCTTCTGGGTGGAGCAATGGGTTAAGATGCAGCGCTAGAAGCTAGTCACAGATGTTTCAGTACGGGTTCGATTCTCAGCCCTGGAGGTGATCCACAGGGTGCAGCAGACCTCTCTTGTCTCCCCTGGTGCTCCCCTCAGCAGTGTACTTTATCAGTCAGCCTGTTCTGCTCCCCTCTCTGTCTCTGGTGAATCTTCTCACTGCCCCTGCACCTCTGGCCTGTACCCCAGTTCTGCATGCATAAATAAATATTTAAAAAAAAAGAAGTAATTGAATTAAGAGAAGCATATGATATTCATGGAAACGAGATTCAACAGAAAAGGCAAAGGGGATTCCCAGCATGACTGATGAAGGGAAGTCTAGCATGACAATGGTTGAATGTCTACAAAGCAGCACATTCAGATTTGAGTGTGATTATAAGGGCTCAAAATATATCTTTGAGAAAGAAAAGTGAAACTAATATGTTCCCTCATGTGTATTATTGTATTAAGATTTTCATTTATATTTTACATCATTGTTTATTTTTTAACAATGCCTGCTTTTCTCAGGTGTAGTTCTCATAGAATTTCCACCACCAATTCATCCATGCACTGTCACACAGTCCCCTGTGTTCTCCTCTCCCTCATACTGATCCTTCTCCCTTCCACTCCCCTGCAGAATATCTCAGGTTTATAGCTGTCTGTTTATTTCTGTTTTTTTTTTCTTATTGCTTTTTTTCCCCCTGATATTTTATTCAGTTCATATGTATTCCTCTTATAAGTGATACCGTCCAATATTTTTTTTTCTTTTTTTCTTTTCTCACTGAGCATAATTCCTTCTATCGCCTTCCATGTTGCTGCAACTGGCATTAGTTTATCTTTTGATTGCTGCATAGTATTCCACGCTGTATCTACACCACATTTTCTAGATCCAATTGTCTATTTTGGGGATTTGGGTTGTTTACAGGTTTTATTTATTCTGAATAGTGCTGCAGTAGACGTAGGGGTACAGATATTCATTTGAATCAGTATTTTTGCATCCTTTGGGTAGATACCTAGGAGTGAGATTGCTGGGTCATATGGTAGCTCCATTTTTAGAAATCTGAGGAACCGCTATACAGCTTTCCATAGTGGTTGGAACAGTTTTTATTACCACCAGCAATGTAGGTGAGTTCCTTTTTCACCACATCGTCATCAGCATTTGTTGTTACTAATTTTTTTGGTGTGTGCCATTCTTATTGGTATAGGTGGTATCTCCTTGTGGTTTTGAATTGCATTTCCCTGATTATAAGGGATGTTGAGTATTTTTTCAAATGCCTGTTGGCCATTTGCATTTCCTCTTTGGAGCATCTTTTAAGTTCTTCTGCCCATTTCTTGACTGGCTTATCTATTTGTATTCTGAAGATTGATTTTAATGGTTTGTCAAATTTACATACAATTGACCTCTGAAAAACATGGGTTTGAACTGTTGAGATCCACTTAAATGGAGATTTTTTTCTAAAATACAGTGCTATAAATGTATTTTCTCTTTTCATAGTCTTACTATCATCTTTTATTCAGCTTATTTTGCTGTTAGCATATAGTATACAATAGATAATAGCATTCAAATTATGTGCTGATTATTTTCTTTGTTATCAGTAAGTTTTCTAGTCAACAACAGCAGACAAGTAGCATTAAAGTAATACTGAGATTTTTTACTCCACATGGGTAGCAAAGTTATTAGTATTCCTGACCCCCTACTTTGTTCAATAATCAAATGTCTGTGTGCGAATGAAGATATATATATGTGTGTGTGAATATATGTATGTAAAAATGTTGTTATTATCTGAATATACACAAATACAACCTACCTAAGCCATTCCACAAAATACAAAAATGTTACCACCAAAGGAATATAAACATAATAAGTCCTTTATATGCTACTCAGTTGTCAACCAGATTTACACTGTTAAGGCTGGATCTTGAGTTAACCCCTTATGGTGATATAATTGCCTTGAGAGGGTGGGGGAGGATAAATATGGG